CTGTCAAGAGGTCAGAAGTGTGATTCCTCATCAGTTTTCTGAACTCAATTGTTCATTGATCACAAACAAAACCAATGCTGCCAGAATTAGAGAGGAAGCTGGGAACTGGGAACTAAATATTACACAAAGTTTCTCTGATAAAGATCTCGTTTTTCAAATATATGGGGAACTGAGCCAAATTTATGACAGCAAGAGACATTTCCCAATAAATAGTCAAAGGATATGAAAGTTTTTGGAAGAAGAAATCTAGACTATCACTAGTCTTATGAAAAAGTACTCTAAATTAGAGAAGTGCACATTAAAACTAGTCTGAAGTACCACCTCATACCCATCAGATTGGCCAACATGAAAGAAAAGGAAAATGACAAATGCTGGAGGAGATGTGGAAAAATAGGTATGATAAGCCAACATTGTTGGAGTTGTGAATTGGTCCAGCAATTCTGGATAACAATTTGGAACTATGCCTGCAGGATTGTAAAACAGTGCATACTTTTTGATCTAGCAATACCACTACTAAGTCTGTACCCCAAAGAGATCAAAGAAAAAGGAAAGAACCTATTTGTACAAAATTATTTTATAGCAGCTCTTTGTGGTGGCAAAGAATTGGAAATGGAGGAGATGTCCATCATTTAGGGAATTACTGAACAAATTGTGGCATGTGATTGTGATGGAATAAGTGATGAAGTGATGATAAGTTTCAGAAAAACGTGGGAAGACTTATATGAGCTCATGCACAGTGAAATGAGCAGAACGAGGAGGACGCAGTAACAGCAATAACATATTGATCATCAACTGTGAAAGACAGCTACTCTGAACAATTCAGTGATCCATGACTATCTCAAAGGATTCATGATAAAAAATGTTATTTACCTCCAGAAAGAGAATAATGAATTAAGTATAGAATGGAGCATGTTTTCTTTTACTTTATTTTTGCTTGCTTTTTCCCCCCTTTTCCACAAGGCAAATGTGGAAATGCTTCGCATCACTTCATATATATGTATATAGATATAGATATAGATACAGATAGAAACATATATCTATACATACATATAGATAGATAGATATCAATGCCTTATCAATGGATGGGAGAGGGAATTGAGAGAGAGAGAATTTGGAGCTGAAAATAATTTTTTTTGAAAAAAGTAGTCATTGTGTTGATCATAGTTCTTAAGTGTTTCCAAGTTGTTTCCCTTTACAATGGCATTATTGTATAAATTATTCTCCTGGTTCTACTTGTTTCACTCTTCTGTTCCCAGACATTTTCCTATTTTTCTCTGAATCCATCTTTTTGTCATTTCTTATGACACAATAATATTTCTTCACAATCATACAATTTGTTATGTCATTCCCCAGATGAAGGTCACCTACTTTGTTTCAAGTTCATTCCCTCATAAAGGAGTGCTGCTATAAATGTTTTAGTCCAGATGGGTCTTTTCCTTTCTTTTTTGATCTGTTGTGGGGTATATTCCTAATAGTATCATTTTTAGATATGTGAGTATGTGCAGTTTTTTGACTTTTGCAATATAGTTCCAAATTGCTTTCCAAAATGTTTGGATCAGTTCACAGATCTAGCAGTAGTGTATTGAGGGACCTGTCTTCTTACACCTCTACAACAATTCTTATTTCCCATTTTTGTCATCCTTGCCAATCTTATAAAAGTTAGTAACTTTTGATCCTTGAGAAAATCATTTTGATGAATCAAAGACTAGAAGGCATTTTAATATAGTAGTGTTCCTTGCTCTTTAACTATGTTTTTCAGGCAATATTAGTTACTACTTTAATACTTCAGAAAATAGTAACAACCTCTCCAGCAAAAGAAAATTCTCTTAAACCTCCAAATTAAATTCAAATTATTCTACTTAAGTTTAAGTACAAGCTGCTGTTCTGAACTTATAAATATTTAAGAAGTGTTAAGTGTTGTGTTTCTGTAAAGCTTTGGAAAAACTACAGCTTTATTAACTGAAAATGTCCTTATTTCCTACTTGAAAAATAAATATTTATCAGATATTAGGCAAAAAGTTTAAGATGTTCTATGTTGTTAATTGTGCACATAATCATTAAAGTCATGCCTTGAGGCATTATTGTGGTTGCAGGGATCTTTGCACTTTTGAAGTATTTTCCTTTTATCTTAAGAATTTGTAATTCTTTCATACATATCTAGTAAGCCATTATTTGTTACACACTTTTTCCACATGAAGATGCTGACTTTTGAGAATGAAATTTAGCATTACTCTATTTTTTTTTAGGCAAAGTAAAGTAAAAGTAGTATCTATTTTATAAGTTATTTCAGGTGTAATAGAGAATTTTTAGTAATGACATTGATAGTAGTGATGATGATGATTATAGCTAGTGTTTATGTAAGCTTTAAAGTTTGCTAAGTACTTTACAAGTATTGTCTGCTTTTATCCTCATAACCACTTTGGGTGGTAGGTGCTATCATTATTCCTCTTTGACAGATGAGGAAACTGTGGTACACAAAGGTTAAGTAACTTTCTCAGGATCAGACAGCTTGTAAATGACTGACAAGATTTAATCTCAGGTTTTGTTGACTCAAGTCCAGAGCTCTAATTCACTGTACCACATAGGTGTGCCCTGAATTGTTTGTTTACCGTTTGCATTCAATAAAATTGCTTTCCAGCTTTAGTTTTAAAAAAAGGTATCTGGGGGTGTCAGGGCTAAATTGTTTGGAATGACTATTATATACAGACACCAATTACTTTCTTTTTAATGTAATGTGGTTAAACAGTTATGCTTTTGAAAATGGAGAGCCTTCATGTGTGCTAACTCAATTTTTAAGCCTGTGTACTCAATAGTGCCCTTACTAAATAAAATAGTGTTGCCTGTTCCTGTGATCGTACTATAACCAGGTCATGGAAATTCACAAGAGGGTCATGGAGATTGTTAAATGGATGGAAAATAGAACTAGTGTTATCAGGAAATGTTAAAGAATGGGACTATTTAACTAATGGAAGAGAAATAAATATAAGGATGATTTAATAACTTTCCAAATCAATATTAATTAAAAGATGATGCAGTGCTCCATCTCATCCATATTTAGTATAAAAAGAAATTGAATTATACCACTCAGTGAGGGAATTAAGTATAATAAAAGGATTTCCTGATAGCAAGGATTGCAAGCACTGAGAGAGTATTTGAAAATTTGTTTTTTTTCTCAGTTAATCAATAAACATTTATTAAGCACCTACTATATGCCAGGCACACTAAGCCCTAGAGGCACAAAAGAAAATACTCATTGCCCTCAAGGAGTTTGTATTCAAATGGGGGAAACAGCATGAAAACAATTGTACAGACAAGATTTATACAGGAGAAATCAGAGGTTATCAATAGAGGGGAAGATCCTTGCATTAAGGGAGATCAGAAAAGGCTTTTCAAAGAAGATGGAATTTTGATTGGAATTTAAGAAAAGGGAGCCAGGAGGTGAAGGGCTAGGGTGAGTGTATTTCGTACATAAAATACCAAGAAAAATGCCTGGAGACTAGAGGTGAATTTTCTTGTTTCAAGAACTGGAAGGAGCTCAGTATTACTGGAAGGAGTAAGTTGTAAAAAAAAAAAACAAAAAACAAAAAACAAAAACAAAACTGGAAGGTAGGAAGAGGTCACCATTATGGGAAGGACTCTGATTGCTAAAGAAAAGATCTTGAGTTGGTCCTGGCAATGACAGGGAGCCATTGGACGATATTGAAAAGGGAAGTGATGTAGTCAGATCTGAACTTTAGGAAGATGAATTTGACAGCTGAGGTTTTTTTTTCAATCTCATTTCTGAAACCCTTCCCAGCTGTTGTTCTTATAGATTAGAAGAATGGCATGAATACTCTGAATAATACTTTCGCATTTCCTAATGGAAGAATATGAGCCTTTGTGCAACCAGTAATTTGTGTCATATTTGTTTCAAGGTAGCTAGAAATTTGATAACCAGAGTTGATACCATTGGTGTCTCTCATCTGGGTTTTTGGAACCCAGAACTTCTGGAATTTAAGGATTTGAGAACGACTTTAGAAATCTACTCTAGCCTTCAGTTACTCTGAGGAATCAGTATCAGGCCAGGGCCACTCAAAAAGATAGAAAAGTCCTTTCAGGCATCACACAACAATAATTTAGGAATACAAGACTCCTTTAGAAGCCTCCAGTTTTATGGAAGATATAGAGGTCGTGATTTACCTAAGGTCACACAGATAATAAGTCCTCTGACCCCAAATCCATTGCTCTTTCCACTATATCACGCTAGAAATTATGTGTATCTGTTAGGGGAGGGAAGGTCAAATTGTTGCCTGGGGATGTCATTCTGCTCAAAGTCACTCAAACCCAGAATTTTAGGGTTCTGTAGTTCTAGGGAAGAGTCCCCCAAAAGGCCAATTGTAATCCTGACCCAAATCCTATTGATGAGCCCCACTTTGTTCAGAAATTTTGGAATCCAGAGTATTGGTGAAAGTAATGACAAATAGAGACATAATTGTAAGGAAGTACCTAATTCTCTGGGCTGATTCACTTAGGTATGTACATAATCAAATATGTACATATGCATATGTACAAAACCAAGCATTAAAATTGAGTAGAGACTCAATCAGATGAATATATGTTTAAACAACTCTATTGCTGTCTTCTGTATAAGTAGCTGGGAGTCTTGATCACCTAATCAAAATTGTTTTTCTTTGTTTTTCAATTGTGTAGATCTTGGCTACTTATCACTAGGACAATAGAATGAGCACATCTTGTTTATAGCATCATAGGATCATAAATTTACACCTGGAAAGCACTCTAGAGATTATCAAATCCCACCCTTTGTTGTGCAGGGAGGGAAACTGAGGTCCATAGAGGCTAAATGACTTACTTCAGAATCAAACAACTAGTAAGTAGTAAAGCGGGGATGTGAACTCAGATCCTGTGACTCTTAAGTTCCGCATTCCAAGTATGAGTAGCTAACTATGTATTTATATTATTTATACCTAATCTATTCAATGTATGTGTTTTTCCCCTATAAGCTGGACAATGCAGATGAGCAAGCAGCCCAGATCAGAAGGGAGCTTGATGGACGTCTACAATTGGCAGAAAAGATGGCAAAGGTAAATTGTTAGCTTTGACGTATGTGAGAATTGAGACTTTTCTGTTTTGATTTTTGTGATATCCTCAGGACAATGCAACATTGCCGTGCTAAGGAGCAATCTTGTGGAAATCTCCTGGTGACAGCAGCAATTACCTACCTCAATATCAACACCTCCTTCCTGAGGCCAAGCTTCCTGATGCCCTTGGTCAAAGTAGTGTTGTCCACATGCCACAAGACCAGGGCCAATGAAAGACCCTGAACTTTGCAATATCGCTTGTCTTCATTAGAAGAGCTCCTACTCTCCACTGATACTTTGCCTGCACGCATCCCACAGTCCTTAGCAAATGCATACTTCTTCTTTCTCTTCCTATTCCAGTGATACAAACTGCTGAAACACGATCCCATTTCCCCAACATCACCTTTTCAATCTCTCATTCTTGTCCGTCAGACTTAGCCCACTGATGCCTCATTCCAGATGTTCTTCCCCCTTTTATTATGCCCTCAAGAACTCCTACTGTATAATTAACTTCCTTTCATTTTGACCACTTCCCCTCTTGCACTTTCCCGTTTCTGGAACTTACTAACATTTGCGTCCTTATCAATGAGGTTGCATCCCTGGCCATCTTAACTATTACTGGTTACATCTTTTCATATCCTCTGACTCTCACTGGTCCCAGTGGAGGAGTCACAATACTTCTTCCTCCTCATTGCCTCTTCCAGGTGCTCCAGCTGCCTCCATCACTTGTTAATTAATGTCTCATCCATTGAAGTTTATTCTTTTCAAATGTATCAATCAGTTTGGATCCTAATAGCCTGTATTTACTCACATCCTTGAGCATTTTCACTACTTTATCAGTGAGTTCAGTGCATGGCTCACAGTCTTCCTCTCCATCTCAATTCCTTCCCTCATTCTAGGGGCCTTCAGCATGTTTGCTGATCTTCAAATACCCTAATTTAAAAATTCCTTCATCTACTTTTCTCCTACTCTACCTCAGCTGCTCACAGGAATGGTCATCCCCTTGTTCTTGCCCATCAGTTTTCCATTTCCACAATCAGAAACTCCAAAATTCTGTTATCTATCAATGATATATTGATCTTGGTATATCAGTGATCTCTTTTATTATTCCATCTGTCCCTATGCCTTATTACTCCTAAGTCTTTTTTTCCTCTTCATAGTAACCTTCAAACCCTCCATCTTTCAGTACTTTCCTAGGGCACCACACTAGCTGTAGCTGTATTCTCTTACCTCCTATATCTTAGTCACTTGATGAACAAGTTCAACTAGATGATATCTTCTACTCTCAAATCCCTTGCTCCCGTATCCTTATTGTATTGCCGAACCGCAACTCTGCATTGCTCCCATCATTTACCTCTTTTGTTCCTACTGACATGCTGCTGAATATAGATATAGATAGAGGAAGTCATGAAACCTTATTTAGTGTAGATTTCTCATATCTATCCCACCGGGGCCCATATTGCAGTAAGGTTTTCCTTTTGCTCCTCCCTGATTCTCTTTATTCCAGTAACCACATTGGCTATGTCAAATTGTCTCTTATTTCCTCAAAGCTTTTACTATACCTCTTCAGTCACCTTCTCAGCTGAGGATCTTGCCTTCACTGAAAAAATTGAGGCTGTTCACCATAACTTTCCCCGCCTCCTCATCTAACATCCCTCTCACATCATCATCTACAATCTCTTTTTTGAGTCTCTAATGATGAGGGTCCTTATCCTTGACAAAGCCATCCCTTCTACATGTATCATTAATCCTATCCCCTCCCATCTTCTCCGGAATATTTTTTACATTGTCATTCCTACTCTCTCTCAAATTTTCAGTTCCCCACTATGTACTAATTCATTCAATACATACTAATTCATTGCTGTCAACAAGTATTCCCCATCCTTAAAATTACACTTGTTAGATCTCCTCACTAGCTATGATCCTCCATCTTTCCTCCCTTTCTCAGCTAAATTCCTTCAAAAAGCCATCTCTACATGGTGTCTCCATTTTTTCTCCTTAGTCTTTTTTAAACCTTCAATCTGACTTTTCCCATCACCATTCAAATGAAAGTGTTCTCTCCAAAGATATCAATGATCAGTTGCCATATCTAATGGCCTTTTCTCAATCCCCGTGATTCTTTACCTCTTAAAAGCATTTGACACTGTTGTCCACTTCCTCCTCTTAAATACTCTTCTTTTTCCTGGGTTTTCCTGACATTTTTTCTTCTTTGATCTCTTCCTACATATTTGCCCACTGCCCAGTCTCTTTTGATGCATCTTCATGCCATACCCATTAACTGATGGTACACCCAAAGACTCTGTCTTGGGTCATTTTCTCTTAATAGTCTCTCATTTAGTAATCACTTCCTATCACCCTAGTTAAATTATTATCTTTATATAAATATCCCTAGATCTACATATTGAACTCTATTCTTTTTCTTGAGTTCTAGCCCCACATCACCAACTGTCTTTTGGAGGTTTCATACTGGCTGTCCCCAAGGCATCTCATACTCACCATACCAAAACAGAACTCATTGTCAAAAGATAGTCTTTCCCTTTTTCTGAACTGTATTATTGTTGAGAGCACAATCATTCTTCTAGTCACTCAGCTTTGAAAATTGATGTTATCCTTAATTGCTAACTCTCACATACTCCATATATCATTTCATTTTCTACATTTCTTATATATGTCCCCTTATCTCCACTCACAACCACCACCTTTATGAAGACCCCCATTATTTTGCACTTTGTCTATTAAAAGAGTCTCCTAATTGGTCTCCCTGCCTCAAGTCTCTCCATATTCCAATCAGTCCTCCACATATCTGCCAAAATGATTTTCCTAGGGTATAGATTTGACTGTGTTACATACCTGCCTTATTCAGTATACCCCAGTAGTTTGTAGAATCAAATATAATCTCTTGTGTTTGACTTTAAAATGTCTTCACAATCTTCACAATCACAACCTCTTCTAGACTTCACTACTCCCCTCCCACACTCTTAAGTCCAGCATTACTGGACTATTTGCCATTCCTCACACATAATACTCTGCCTCCTATTTCCTTGCCTTTGCATTGGAAGGAATGCCTTCCTTTCTCTTCCCTGCCTTTTGGAATCCCTGACTTCCTTCAAAATTTAGCTGAAATATCATCTTGAAAGCTCATGCTTCTTGGTTTTTCTCAGCTCCCCAGCTAGTAGTACCATCAGCAGGTGTAGCTTATATATACATATTCATTTACATATACATATACACAAACATATACATGTATGTGTTGTTTCTCCCTTGAGAATGTTAAATCCCTGAAAATAGGAACTGTTTTCCCACCTTGATTAGTCCAGCTCCTGGCACATAGCAAGTGCTTAATAAATGCTTGTTTACTGATTAGCAGATCTTCCTTTCTGACTCACATCAGAGTTCTCCTGTAAGATAACTAGGCTAGCTATAAATAAATAATATCTTCCTCTTCCTTTATATGGTCAGCTCTCAGTTAGCTGTACGCAGATTATATATGCTCTGCTTCATGTAGAAGTAATCTATGGAAGTTACAGACTTTTCATTTTTCAGATTATTCATGGCGAATATTTTAAATCTACAACTGACATTCCCTCAGATGAACATGCAAATTTCATTTTAATACTACACTTAGCAAAACACAAATATGAAGGTAAGTCTACTACTCCAAAGATCGTATTATACGTCTCAAAGTGCAATATAATGTGAATGAATTCTGAATCATCTTAGCCATTGCTGTTTTGTCACAGCGTGAATGATTCAGGGTTGATATAGTGATGAGTCATGTCTTGTCTTTTAAGTAGTTACCAATTTGCTAGAGAGCGGACCTCAATTTAGTGAATGTTTCCTTAGTGAATTGAAAAAATCAGTTCATTTGTAGGAAGTGAAAATTTGGGGCTTCACTAAGAGAATTAGGTGTATGTGGTTGTGGTACTCCAGCTAAATCTTTGAGTTCTGGATAGCTTACCTTTTCCTGGCCCCTAGTAACTTTGAATGGTGTGATACATACCTCCAACCCAGCTGATTGTTTATGTCCAGTGAATTCTTGTTTTACAAAGGTAGACAAAGGTAAATTTTAAGTGTGTGGTTTTTGAGAGTGTTAACATTAGAATGAACCAGAATTTGCCTAACAGGAAGAAGAAAATAGGTGATCGATTGTCAAGCTAGTACACAAGTGAAGGCTAAAGGACTTAGATGAAGCATTAGCCTGGCCATCAGAAAGTACAAATGCCATTCTGCCACTGACTAGCTGGGTGGTTTTAAATAGTTCTTTCCCCTATAGTTTCCTTCTTTGTAATACTAGTCTAGTAAATGTCTGAATCTGTTTCCCAAACATATTTGGCCATGAGACCCTTTTCTCATGATCTGTTACTGTACCTCAGCCACACACACACACACACACACACACACACACACACAAATTGCTATACCTTTGATCTTGCCAGTATTCACAATTGTTTTACTTCCGTGTTCATGAACTCTAAAATTCCTTTATCTAATCATAATCTTTCATCATTTCAAATTTGCCTATGCCTTATAAACCCTATCCTAGGGGTGGGGAACCTGCGGCCTCGAGACCACGTGTGGCCCTCTAGGTCCTTGGATGCGGCCTTTTGACTGATTCCAGGTTTTACAGAACAAATCCTTTTATTAAGGGGATTTGTTCTGTGAAGTTTAGATTCAGCCAAAGGGCTGCACTTGAGGACCGAGGGGACCATGTGTGGCCTGGAGGCCACAAGTTCCCCACCCCTATATCCTTTTCCTTTGATTTAACAGTCACTTTTAATCTTTGTATCTCTCAGTTCTATACTGGCTACTTATTTTTCCCCTTCTTATCATGATTCCCTGTTGAATCAGATCAGCTCTAACTATCTTCTGTGCATAAATCCCTTTCCCTCTTATGTCAATGTTCACCCCCCCAACTTAGATCTTGCATTGCTTCCATCGTATGCTGTCTTTATTTTCAAGCGTTGCTTAATGAAACCACTATGATTTGTCCACTACATTTTATA